ATACTGTAGCTGAAATACAGGCCTTCCAACTCATCAGCTGGATTGGAAATTTGACCATATGACATTGATGACAAAAGCCCCAATGGTGGAAGCCACAAGGCGTGTTGCTACTGCCATCTCCTGGTTAGGTCAACGGAATGGCATTGTATACACAATTCGAGTTGGGAAGGTACCGATAAAGAACAAATCGCAGTCTTTGAGACACTGCACTGGCTTTTTGAATCTCCCCTGGCTTCTTCACTAGGAGATCGAGGCTCAATTTCCAGAGACTCAGGGATAAAACACCGGTCCATAAACCATCGGGTGAAAACCTAACCATCTGTTCCAAAAATCCAAGGGCGACTCAGTTTAATTTGGGCCTGTAGCTTCTAATGGTTACTTTGCTCATTCCGAATTTTTGGGTCCCAAGAGGTTTGCAAAGGTTTAGTCTTAGCATAGTGGATGGATCTAAAAACAAAAATCAAAATCCATTAAATATCAGCAATTAAGAGATAGTCACGAATGGGAATATAGATTTAAACTTGATGAACAAGACACTGTGCATTCACCTCCTGGGCCTAGGTTTATAGGCAGTATTCACAGGCAGTAGTAACAATGAAGCTGAAAAAGACATGTTGCCAAAGCTCCCAAACTCCTGGAAAATTTCAAAGAGATACAAGGCAAGCATTGTATGACTTGGGAAACATCCAGCTCAGAAAGCGGTGGGAGAAGAAAGCGGTGGGAGAAGGAACCAGTAGATATTTTTAATGCAGATGTCGACTGATTCCCTTGTTTGATGAGAACTTAAGAATATTGTGGGAGGAAGGGAATGGAAAATTCAGAACACAAACAGCTCAGCCATGATTGTGTTGAATGGTACAGCAGGTTTGAGGGGCTGAATGGCTACTTTCTGCACCTATTTTGTTAGTATGTGTATAACTATTCTCCCACAGGATACCTTTGCGCTCTGTAACTGTATGGTGAACAAATGGGCGATTTACGAGATTGCTAATAAAGCTTACCTCAGTGTCTGTGGAACTATACATCTTGCAAGATGTATGTTGACTGGTGAAGGTAACACTTGCAGTAGACATTAGTGGAGTACCTGACTGCAACTTTCTCAACAAGGATGTAGAGAAAAGACAATGCATTGGAGCTGGTCCATCTCCACCTCTGGAGTTTAAAACTGCCCAGTCTACCTCAAATTACCCTGGAAAGGCAAATTCAAAAATGCTTTAGCAACAAGTTCAACAATTTTCAAAGTGCAGACTGTCTTCAACAAATCTGAACCTTTTTTTTAAAAAAAACTCATTTTTCCCTAATCAACCTGTTCAGAGACTGTATTAAAATGCCTCTAGAGCAGATGGAGACTTGAACCCAGGTCTCTTGATCCAGGGGTAGGGACACTACCACTGTGCCACTAGAAGTCCCTCTACCAGCCTGCATTTTGTTCCATACTTTTTATTAAAGTCACATTTTGCCATCTGCTAAGGGACTTGAGCCCTTGTCCCCAGAATATTAGCCCTGTATTCTGGATTATTAGCCCAGTGACATTATCATAAAACCACCATCTCCCCTCAATCAGCCTCCACTTGCAGAATCCAAAACCAAAACATCTGCTGTTGATGGGATTCTATGATTGGATTGCTCAGCAAATACTGCCCAGAGTGTGCTAATAGCTACATTAACAGGGAGTTTAAAATGATCAGTCAAGCTTGTAATATGGCTCATTTATACCTACTACAGGAGGCACACATTCATACACAGGGACGTACTCCCTGCAAACAAAGGGAATATGTTCAGGCCTTGCAGCTTTTTCAAATGATCTCAGAGTTTGGGGTGCCTCTTGTTCACTGTTGCTTTCACCATCACAGCAGTGTGGTTAATTGGAGTCAATTTGCCAACCAATTGGCACCTTTTTCTCCTGTAAAATAAACTGTGATGTTTGATATTTTAGCTTTCATGTATTTGCCCTGATGATTCCAAGACCTAAATCTTCAGCAAGTGTTATCGTATCTAGCTCTTGTTTTAGATATTTATTGTAAAGTGGACACTTCCTCCACAATAATCTGTAACACCAGTGCTCCACACGGGTGCATGCTCAGCCCTCATCTTACTTATTCATAGAATCCCTACAGTGTGGAAACAGGCCCTTCGGCCCAACAAGTCTACACCGACCGTCAGAGTATTCCACGCAGACCCATCCCCCTTAACCCACTTAATCTACACGTCCCGGAACACTATGGGCAATTTCCCATGGCCAATCCACCTAGCCTGCACATCTTTGTTCTGTGGGAGGAAACCGGAGCACCCGGAGGAAACCCACGCAGACACAGGGAAGTGTGCAAAAGTTGCCCGGAGGGTGGGATTGAACCCAGGTCCCTGGCGCTGAGGCAGCAGTGCTAACCACTGAGCCAACGTGGCCCCTTACTATACTCTGTAAACACTCACGACTGTGTGACCAAACTCTGTTCTAATTCCACTTACAAAAGTCTTTGGGACATCATGTATCAAGTTTAAATCTACGTTTTCATTCACTGCTATCTCAGTTTTTTGACAGAAAAAAAAATTTTCATCACAGTCCTAAAACAGCAACTCCCAGTTTTGCACTCACTCACAAAGGGAGACATCTTTTCCATGTCCACTTTGTCAAGCAGATTCAGGACCTTACACACCTCAATCACATCATCTGTCACTCCTAAGCTGCAATGGAAACAAGCCCAGTCTATCCAACCTCTCTTCATAAGACAACCTGCTGATTCCAGATATCAATCTAATTCTTAGGACTAAAGGAATCGAAGGGTATGGGTAGAAAGCAGGAACAGGGTACTATGTTGGATGATCATATCAAATGGTACAGCATGCTGGAAGGGATTCATATATCTCAGAAACAGACCCTTCAGTCCAACTCGTCCATGCCAACTACACATCCCAAATATGACCCTGTCAGCATTTGACCCATATCCCTCTAAACCCTTCCTATTCATGTACCCATTCAGATGCATTTTATATGTTGTAATTGTACCAGCCTCCACCACTTCCTCTGGCAGCACGTTCCATAAATGCACCACCCTCTGCATGAAAAAGTTAGGTCTATGCCTACGAACTACCTCCAAAGCATTTACATCCTTCCTTAAATAAGGTGTCCAAAACGGGATACAATATTCTGGTTTTAGTGCCAATTCCATCACTGGGAAAAGACGACATGAAGGATCTAGGAGTAAGTACATTTTGAGTGTCTTCAGCATACCTCCAGCTCCTCCTCCAATCTCACTTCCTTAACAATTTTGTCAATATTTACTGTTCAAGCAAAATTAAAGACTGAAGTCAACAAAATAGACATCAATAGGGAAAAGTTAACACAATCTGTTTGGTAGTGTTTAAGTTGTAGTGTTTCATTGCTGATCTCAGTATCCCCGTGCTAAGGAGGGGAAAGAATAGCCAGAGTTCCTGTCCCTCACTACTTTGCAACAATCAATGTTGGAAATTGTGTGTATGCATGACCAAACAGCCTATCACCACTTGCAAGAACAAAGGATGCACATAGAAATTTACTTTAATATGAACCATGAGAAAGGAATCAAATAACATGAAACCAGCAACTTAAAAGGGGATTTTTGTTTTACTCTTGTTAGTGCAAGCTCTCTTAAATAAAAATAAGTCATATCACTTTTACAGGCTGAAGCAATAAACTTGCTGTTTTACATGATAAAACAATATATATAATACAGGTAAGGATATACAGCAATTTGATATGAAGTCAGTTGTCTTAAGAATGTATTGATCAACCAGGTGGCTCTTAAGTGAAGGCTTAAGTAGAATTTACTGTTCATTAATATCCATGACTCTCGTGATATTAAATCCACTGAACAGTTTACAACTGTAAATACCATAACATAAGCCCCATAAGGCTGCACATTCATGGAAAGCACACAAATAGCCAACACTGAATGGGTCTAATAGCATCAATTGTAGAATGTAATGAAACTAAGCAAAGGATTGCTTTAAACAAATATTTTCATTAACACAGTACCTGTTAACTTGTCTTTACTGAGTTTATTTGTTGTAACATATTTCTACAGAATGGGATGAGTGGCAGGGCATGCATTTTCAATGAAATAAAATAAAATGGTGACTGGCTACAGAATCAAGTCTTGGCAAAATCTGTCTAACCACCTACAAGGTGCAGGGTCAAGAATAACAACAAGAATCCATCACACACTCTACAGATGGCACAACAAATGCAGCCTCACAAACCAGGAGGGCTCCAGACGTGATCTTCAGTCTCAGTGGAGTTAAATGACCTTGATGGGTATAATAGTGTCCAGACGGGTTTGACACTTGTTAGCTTCCGTTCCTGATGACCATCTATACCCAGTGAGTGTGTGTTGGAATTGGTGATAATATTGGAAATAGGCCAAAACGAGTTTAATGTCAGAGGCTGCTTTGTACTCAGAAAACGGTCAACATTTTCAAACAGTGCAGCATAGCAGGAGGTGGGCTGGGAATAAAATGGTTAAAATGTGAATACACTGTTCTAGACATTCCTGGTTATCAGCTTTACAAATGATAAGTAATGAAGAAAAATAATTCTGAAGGTATAATCTAAGACGGTAAAGTGCTCTGCTCCCCAATACCACTGAATTAATAAACTTATCTTTTGTTTCAGTATTACTGTGGTAATAGTTTCACCATTACTGGTTGGTCCACCAGACTTTTATACTTGATTGTGTTTAGGTCTCAGTTTTTGCTTTATGTATCGGATGGACAAATTATCCAGTTATGTTTTATATATTGGTCTTTACTTTTATGATGGTTGAACAGGGTGAAACTGAACTGAAGCATTTCTACAGAATTCTTAGTGTGGAAGCAGGCCATTCTGTCCATTGAGTCCACACCGACTCTCTGAAGAGCATCCCAACCAGACCCACCCTAGACACTATGGGCAATTTAGCATGGCCAATCCAACTAGCCTGCACATCTTTGGACTGTGGGAGGAAACCAGAGCACCCGGAGGAACCCACGCAGACACGGGGAGGACATGTAAATTCCACATAGACTGAGGCTGGAATCGAACCTGGGTCCCTGGCGCCACGAGGCAGCAGTGCTAACCACTGAGGCAATCTTGGTCCAAATGTCTTGGGGATTGTTTTTTAAATCTAGTTTTTCTCATATTCTACTCTTATGTTACATTCAATTTATAAAGTGCTTTCCACGAGAGGTATCCCATGTAAAATCCAACAAGCACTCAAAACAGGGAGTCTTCTGGACTTCAAACCGCAGCATCAGAATGAGACAAGCTCAGCAAACCATCAAACAAAATCAAGAGAACCAGATTTCTCTTCTAAATGGAAATATCAGTGCTCTTACCAACAACTTTCAAACACTTTTGTTACTGAATGTATGGTTCTCTCTGAAACACTTGTTTTGAATTAAACTCCCTTTTATGTTTCTTTCACAGATCAACTGGTCCCACTCATTTGCCAGTGTAATGCAAATCATGATACTGAGCCCAGGCAGCAGTGGAAAAGTTGTCAAAGGTTAACAGCTCTGATATCTTCCAATGGAAGGCTTCATTAGGGGCTGTTCAGTATTTTTCAATCAGAGTCAGCAATGTTTTTTTCTCAATAGTTACAATTTATATAGTAGACTTATCCACGTGAAAGGCTACACGTAAAAGTATTGTACAAATGACAAGGGTTTTAAAAAAATCTACAAATCATAAGCCTATAAGAATCATTGCAATCTATGCGAAATATGTAGTACATGAGGGCATCTTTTGTAATTTAGAATGGGTAAAGAAAGGTGACTTGTGAAAGCATTTTGGTCACAAAGTATTTCAATTGAGAAATACCAACTTGGCTGCTACTTTGAAATACAAACTGAACTCTTAAGAACTTTTCTGAAGAAGGGTCTAGGCCCGAAACGTCAACCTTCCTGCTCCTCTGATGCTGCTTAGCCTGCTGTGTTCATCCAGCTCTACACCTTGTTATCTCTGAACTCTGAATACTCTCTTTTAATGAAGACTTCGTTCTGTGGTTCATTCTTAACTGCCCTTTGAAATGGTCAAGTAATCGACTCAGCTCAGGGACAATTAGGGATGGGCAATAAACGCTGGCCTGGCCAGTAGACTCTCATGCCAAGAAAGAATAAAAGAAATTAAAATATTCTGTCACTTAAAGTCCACTGCTCTGCTTCTCTGAAAATCTGCCATAAACTGAAATTGCAGCAAAAACACAGAGCCAGAAAAAAAAACAATAACTGAGATTAACCTAATTTGATTTGAGTTTGTGCACTGCGGAAATAAGTCCAGAGTCTTTCGTCCTGCCAAGCCACAGGTTATTGGAGTGTTAAAGAGTGGAGAAATGGGAAAACCAGGAATTTGTCTCTCTTTCTGTTGGTTTTGGCTGGAGTTGGTACAACCATTCAATACATAAATTACAACAGTGCCTTAGGCTCAACTAAATTAGCTGTAGACAGTAGACATTGCTGGTTTTAGTAATGATTCGTACTTCAAATTCAACTTATGTATCAGAAATCATCTTCTTCAGTTTGACGAATTTAAAAATACTTCAACATCTGATAACTGGCAGTGCAACAGTGACAGCTTGGCTGTAGTTGTGGGGACTTTCCTTTATTGCATCATTGCATTATTAATTTTGCTGTTCTTAATGTCACACCACACTTTGTCTGTTCAACTCTCTGTTGTACGTTGGTGTCTCAGAACATCTATGACCAAAGTCAAGAAAAATCCCCTCGGAGTCTGTACCCACTGATTCCAAAGTGTTGTCTCCTGTGCTTTCAGGACTGGTTGATGCTTCAGGTAGCATGGAAGGACTACTTGATAACTTAAAGGCATTGTCTTGGTCATCTTGTGGACGCTGAATGAGGAAACAATCCGGTTGCTGGCTGATGATGGGTTCACTCATCGTTTTGCACTGGAGAAGTTCATTAATGGTTCGTATGCTACCTGGCTCTTGCTCTCTGGGCAAGTGATTCTGTGCTGCTGTGGCAGTCATGATGGAGATTGGGTCTACAATGGGGGTTGTGACACAGGGACTGAGATTTAAATAGCCTTCAGACTCGATGCAAGTTGTCATTTCTGACACAGAGTGCCTTCTGATACTTGTGCCATTCACCAGACTTCCTTCGCTTTCGTATTCTGCGACTGGGGTTAACATCGGATTGTTGTAGCTCTTGGAGCGCACCACTGGGTTCTTGGTCAGAATTTCATTTGATTTGGAACAGCGTGGAAACAATCGTTTCTCTGTTAAAGAGGAATACATAATTGATAGTTTTAGCATCAACAACAAAAAAAAAAATCAGCAATGTGAAAACAAGGCCATTGCCAAGACTGAGATTTTGGAAGGAAAATAAACAGCAAACCTGACTGCACACTCACTGAAGCTTACACAGTTGTACCCATGGAAACAGATCATTACTGACAACCAGGATGAATGAATGAACGCACGCCAGTACAAATGGGTGAGGCTTGACAGAGCCCAAAAGGTGAAGCACACTTCAGGTTTCAGTGAGGTATCTTTACTGAAATCACACCCGTAGGCTTGGATGTAGCCTGGTCTAATGAAATAATAGTTGCACTGAACAACAGTGTTAAGATTTTCATAAGAAACTTGCCATTTTTGGCATGATCTCCATTTCACTTTTTTTTTTAAAAAAGTCTTTTCAAATCAGGTGCCAACCTTCAGCTTAAAAAAAAGACGGACTTCTATTTGTCCGAGACCTATACAAATGCTCTACTTGGTTACTAAGTGGCTAAGAGTTATCGCAAGAAATACTTAACCTCCATTTCTTCTATCCTTCCCACTGTAGAAGCACTTCCTGCCCATTCTACACTTGGAATTACGGAATTGTAATATACAGTTAACATGACCTACCCAATCTTTGCTCCCAAAGACTTTAAATAATCCCCTTTAATATTTTTATATGAAACTCATGGACTTTACTTCGACGACTGTTTGTTTAACTAATCTTTGTGGATAACATATTTCTTCTAAACTTCCTTGATTTGATTTTTTTTTACTTCTACAAAATTTGTGGAGAGCAGCTTGCAAAACACCAGATAAATTGACGTTTACAATGTAAGATTCGTTATGGAGCCTGGCAAGGATGAAGCTGCAGTGAGAGAAGGGACAGGAGATGAGAGATTGACTCTGAGGGAAGGAGGCAGAGACGCAACATCTTGGAAGAGGAGTCTGACGACTCAAGCGACCACTGAGGCAGAACTGCTGATTAGTATTTAGGCTCAGGTAAGAGGTGGCCTTAAGTCTGCTCAGAAGGAAGAAGAACCTGGGGTAGCAGAGCAAAATAAGTATGTTCATGGAGTACTGGGATAGTTGCAGCTAGGAGAGTAGGTGGGGAACATTTACTTGTGGAAGACCAGAGTCAAATGGTAATCAATGGCAATGTGAAGATGATTAAGGGCAGAAAGTAAGATAGGAAGAAACAAACAAACAAAATGTGAAGCGAAGCTTGGACCATGGATAGCATTCAATATATACAGAGTGGAGACAGAAGCCTGGAATAGATTGCATTTTCTATTCGAAAGTGATCCAGCAATATTTCCTGACATGAATAAATAAAATGATTTATGAATAGATACTGTCAAAATGCTCAAAAATGACACAATACCGAATTCAAATCAAAAGAAAGGACATGATTAACATTTAAGCAAAGCAGCGAGGTTGAACTCCCACTTTCAGCCGTTGAATTCAATTCCAAAACGAAAACCAACCACAACGCCAAGAAGGAAAATACGTTTGTGTGGTAGGTTAGGACCACATACGTGTAAGGAAAATTTTATCTTTCTTAAGGTGATACATCCATATCCATGGAAAGTCACTACAGCCTCAGTGGGCCATAAGGCTGCTCTTTCATTAGAGACAGGGAACTGGTAGTGAGCTTAACTGGAAGGTCACCACAGCTTGGGCTTGGGGTGAGGTTGAAAAGTTAGGATCTCCAATGGTAACCACAGGTGGTGTGGAAATTAAACCAGAGCTGGAGGAGTCACACCGCATCACAAACCATCCATTCAGCCAACTGAGCAAACCAACCTCCAACGTACATATCTCCTGAACACATAGACCATTCTCAAACCTGAACATGCACGCATCTCTGAAGTGTTGCGTCCAAAGAAACCCAACCGACTTAGTGTCCAGGAAGTCAGAAAATATAGTGCAAGTCCAGCGTAACACCAACACATATCCAAAGTACCACATATATAAAAAGCTCGGGTTTAAAATGCAGGAGCAATAGCTGGACTACTGGAAAGGTGTCATCAGATGAGGCCTATGTTTACACCAAGTTTTGAAAGACGTCAAAGGTCAGATTATGGTTGGATATACCTGTAAAATGCAAAACTATTAGCATCCTAACAGATTAGTGTGACATAGAATGAGTTCCACCCAAAAGGTGTGTAACACCATCATGCCCTGATAGTTTAATCAACAATCAATATGCTTTATCCAGTAAATAACATTACCATATATTTCGATTTCTCTTCCAAACTTCATCTTTTCCAATCGTGTTCAATGAAACCTTTCTACAATTTACTTCACCCCTTTCTCAATGACTTATAGTTTGTAATTTGCTACGATGAATGGGTTAGGTATGTTCTTACCCAGAAAAGATGCTGAATGTGTAGCTTGTTCGTTCCCTGCGTGCAGTCCATACGTTCCCAAGTATGGAGACACCACCTTCTGTATCAGCATCTCCAGCCGCAGGTAATCCCCTGTCACACCCTTAGATTCATGAACTCCCTGAAATAGAAGAAATCAGTTTACTAGCCTGTTCATGCTGTGAACAGTTGTCACGTACAGGGGGGAGAAGAGGAGAGGGGAGACAGAGGGGGGGAGAGGGGAGAGACAGAGAGGGGGGGGGAGGGAGAGAGGGGGGAGAGGGGAGAGGGGGAAAGAGGAAGGGGGACAGGGACTGATATTTGAAATTAGGCCTTCTAGAGAGTGTATAATTAAGTTATCTGTTGTTGCCCACACCTTAGGAGAAGCTCATTGTAGACTCTAGGCCTCTGAAAACAATGATGTGTCATACTTCTGTGTGTATTTATCATAGCCACCTTCACAATGGAATTTCTCAATTTCATCAAGGCTTGTCTGTGAGGAAAGAAAGCGAAGGCCAGGGACTTTATTTGAAGTCGAAGTCTGGACTTGGCAGCCACGTACTCTGTGCTTGTGCTGTTGAGGGCATATTTAATAAGGAGCCAGACTTGTAGCTTATATCATTTTCACTCAGTATGGGAATATCTGACCGAGATGGATGACAGCAACTCTCTGCAATGCTCAAAGACTGCAAGAGAAGGGTTTAGTATGGACAGTTCTTTGGAATATTTAAAAACGGTGCAGGAGGAAATACATCTTCAACGTGCACTGTGCTTACAGTGGCTGAAGTAACTGAGGCAAAATACAGCTAGTCACAACAAAGAAAACTGCTACACTCACACATTTGAGGAGTGGCTGAATAAAGTCAAACTAATTTGCCAACATCTATGCAACTGCTATGAAAAGAGTGCAATACCACTTAAATGCCTCAATTCTGTTTGAAAAGACCTAGTTTTGTAAAATTCTGGTTTAGAAACACTGTGACAATAGCGAAAAGTTACAGTACACTTAAGGATTGATAGCACCCCAAGGAATAGCAGTAAGTTTTCATTTGGAAGCAATACATCTAATAGGGTATAACTGGCCAGAATACAATCTCCCCTTTGTAATTCTGAAGAAGTCATGCCAGACTTAAAACATTAACTCTGTTTCTGTCTCCGCAGATGTGGTGAGCCTGTGGAGTTTCTCCAGCATTCTGTGCTTGTTCAAAGTGTTCATGCATATTTGAATGGATTTTTCCTATCTGTCTCTGTAGTGCTTCATGTCAATACATATCTGTCCTCTACATCTGTAGCTTACAGAGTGAAGCTACATCTTTCATCATTTATTTATGTTTGCATTTTTCAGTTTAAATGCCCATGAACATTCCTAGCTTTTGCAGAGTGAAACATGCTGTACCAGCTTCCCAATAAATTGCATAATCTCACTTCAACATTGAAGTGTCCTGCAGGTATGGGAGAGAGCATATATTAGCTAACGGGTCCACTTTTGACGTGCAGAAATAGGTTTACATTTGAGCCATTAATGGAGGTCAGAACTGAGGACTGTTCAAAGCAAGTTAGCAAACAGTTGGGAGTTATGAAAACTGAACTTCCAAAACAGCCAAAGAACAAGCTATTGCAAACTAGACTTGTAAACAGATTGAGCATTGCACTGCTAATGGTTTAGCAATGTTGTTCTAGAGATATTATGCAGTTTTAAAATGATCATGGCATAGTGACAGAATTTTTCTCCTTTGCCAGATTTGAGTCTGATTACATTCTCAGGCCAAATTTAACACAACTCACGTAAATGTCAAATGAACCTCACAGATATATCGTAGAATTTCTACAGTGTGGAAACAGGCCCCTTGGCCCAACAAGTCCACACCAACCCATCCCCCTATAACCCACCTAACCTACACATCCCTGAACACAATGAGGCAATTTAGCATGGCCAATCCACTTAGCCTGCACATCTTTGGACTGTGGGTGGAAACCTGGGCACCCGGAGGAAACCCACGCAGACACGGGGAGAATGTGCAAACTTCACACAGACAGTTGCCCAAGGGTGGAATCAAACCCAAGTCCCTGGCGCTGCGAGGCAGCAGTGCTAACCACTGAGCCACCGTGCCGCCCCATATCCATACTGCAGGTCCAGATACAGTATGTGTTTTCTTGAACTCCTGGAAATTTTCTAATACAAGCCGTCCGAAGATGCCTGAATAATGACTCTTTGTAGTTTCATGAAAATTATAACATGAAAATTACTTGCACAATTCTCACTGCATGCTGCAAACCTTACAAAGCTGGATACTCTCATTTCATGTAAAATATCAGGGAGACCAGCTCCAGTCTCAGGCACACAGTTGAAATCCTCATTCCTTACAAAAACAAAGTTGCTGGAAAAGCTCAGCAGGTCTGGCGGCATCTGTGGAGGAGAAAACAGAGTTAACGTTTCAGGTCCGGTGACCCTTCCTTATTCCTTACAGTAGATTTACCCTTTGTCCAGGCCCAAACGTTACAAAATATTACATTAGTGATTGTTTTTCTGAAATTCCTCCCACAAATATTTTCCCACTTTTTCAGTCCAGATATCGAAAACAGGACTGATTTTATTGAATCAGAATTTAAGACTTTCAGCAAAAACTTTGATTATCCAAAATGTTGAGGGAGTCCAATTGCAAATCTCAAGAATACTGTAGAGCCCAGAGGTATTTGTGAAAGAACATTACAGAAGTTATGCTTTTGCTTTGTCTCCCACAAAAACCAGACACCAAAGAAACAAACCCAGTCGTACCTGATCTCTACAAGCAAAGAAAATGAAGATCTCATGAATCGTGACAGATTTTAACTCACAACTGACCACTGGCTGCAGGTTTCCAGACAACAACCACACTTTGTTGGCAGCTTGTCTGAGAGGAGCTTCAGCTTGAAATTGTTCTCTCACTTGACTTCAAACATGAATATTATTTGTCACTCCAAATGACATACAAGTGAAAGGAAGAGAAGTACATTTTTGCAATTACTTTAAGCACCGCCTCAGTGATACTTTACAAATGATGGTACTACACTACTGAATTATTATCATTTATACAACTCCTCACAGGAATGCTTTACTCTATCTTGTTGCTGTAAAGCTTTAGAACTATAACTGAAATAATTGTGAAGTAACCAAACAGTAATAAAAATAGGAACTGGTTCCTGATGAGTCCAGAGGAAAATTATCCTGCAGTACGTGTGTTGTACACCATATAGTCAGAAAAGCAACTGCTGAAATCTCAGCGATTCAAATTCATAATGAACATTATATGTTCGTCAAGAAAGCAAAGAAAATAGACTAACTACCCTTGCTGTATTAGGCACACAGAGAAAACTGAAGAAAAAAATACAGAATGCCTGAGAAATTCAGCAAGTCTGGCAGCATCTGCAGACAGAGAAGCAGAGTTAGCATTTTGAGCCTGATATGACTTCTTCAGAGTTCCTCACACATTTTCTGTGCTTGTTTCAGATTTCCAGTACCTGAAGTATTTTCCTTTTGTAATGAGATCTAGGTATGTTTGTGGAAAGCATGGATTGTGCTGATATTCTAAAAGACTAGTGGGAAGTTAGCATACCGCACAGTACAGAAACTGTGAACAGACAACTTAAACTTTAAAGTCACACAGAAACCTCCCATGAGGATTGCTGTTTAAATTACCGAGAGCTCACTCAAGGATTCTTATGTCCTGAAGTGCATCTTTTTTAAAAAGTACATCTCATGAACAAAGGAGCACACTGATTAACAGTGTAGTGTGATACAAGAGGAAAAACATCTTTGAATAGAGATAACACTTTGAAATTTAATAATTCTATTGATTACCCTTCATGTATATAAGCAAGTGTTTGTTTACTTATTCTGTGTTACACATCATTTCTAGCTTTAACAATTCAGTAAATTTATCCATTAAGTAGCCCGGCCACAGAGAATTGGAAAATGTTTATTCTCGGACGTGTGCTGAGTCAGTTCATTTCTGCCGTGACAGAGAGGGGGGCCAATGCAGTTGGCCTCAGCAGAGTGTGCACCAAAGTTGAGCTTGGTTATAAAAATCGAAAGAACTGCGGATGCTGTAAATCAGGAACAAAAACAAAGTTGTTGGAGAAGCTCAGCAGGTCTGGCAGCATCTGTGAAGGGAAAAACAGCGTGAACGTTTCAGGTCTGGTGACCTTTCTTCAGAACTGGTGGTGGCTGGGAAAACGTCAGTTTATATGCAGAAAATAGGAAGGTGGCTGGGGTAGGGTGTAAACGATAGGATAGAGCCCAAAGAGGGAGAAAGACAGTTGGCCAGACAATGGAGTTGTTAATGGGACAATATTCACCCTCCCAGCCTGATCGTTAGCAACCCCTTTGTCTGTCCAACTGTCTTTCTCTCTCTTTGGGCTCTATCCTATCATGTGTACTTTTCCGCTCGCACTCTGACTTATCGTATGTATTTTTCCCGGATGTCCGTTTTCAGCTTTTGTTTATTTTTGGCTCTTGGTAGTTAGTGATCTAACTCCCTCATCGATTTATAAAGCTAAGAGGATTCACACTTTTGTCATTTGATGGAGACAGAAATGTAAATGGGCGCAGTAGGCAGAGCTGTCAGAGGAACAATATTGTGACAGAAGAAAATTATTGTGATCTGGTCTCTATAACTGCACAGTGCTCTGGAGAAAACAGTAGTGATTCTCCCTTGGCTACAGAATACTTCAGTAGAATTGAAAGCTGCACAATGCAACCGAGTCAACATCTCAATGAATAGGAGGTGCTGAAATATTTCTGATTACGTTGAAAAGGAGTTTTGCAGCATTTTTGTTGAGTATAATCCAATACAGCAAAACTAAAGAATGATGGCTCATCTGAAACAATAAAACATGATTGATGTTATTGAATGAGGTTTTGTTCCCAAGATGGCTAACTGTGGAATGGACACTGATTGCATGAATAATACATCAGTCACTTTGTCAAGTGTTTCAAATACAGATAGCTATTGAGCTGAATTTTCAATTCTGGGACAGATCCTGATGCCAGAATTGTTTCTGGGTTCTGACTCTCCATCGTCCTGATGTCAGGCAGGATTTCAAGATGGTCAATGGATGGCGAGTTGTCACACATGCCATCCAGTAATGGATAGCCAACTGGTA